GGTCCGCGTTGTCAGCACCCTGGACAACACCGGAAATCGCCGCCCAAGGACCGTTTCTCTGCGGACTGGACTGCCTCCAAGGGCCCAGGAAAGAGGGCTAGCCCCCAGAACTTTGCCCTCCTGGGGCGCAGATCCTACTGGACCCCCGAGACCCGTCCCTTGAAGCCGCAGGCTAAGCCCTCTTTTGTGGTTAGAGCTGTTCCAGGAAACCCCCTTCCCGAGTCCGCTAGCGACTCCCCTGAGTCTGCAGCCGCGATTTTCCTTCCCGAATGCTGCTTCCCCAGCGGTCTAGCCCCTCTCCGCGTTGAGCCCCGGAGCTGGGTGGTGCTGGGGCAATGCCTAAGCCCTCCCCAGCGTGGCCCGCTCACCGGCAGGACACGGTAATTTCAATCTTGGTGGCCGGGACGCTGCGCTCAGAGGCTCCGCTGAGCGACATGGCTGGTCGGCTGGCCGGAGCTGCGGCAGGCTGCGAGACGGGGGCCGCCGGAGCTGCTAGGGGCGGCGGCGGCGGGGTCGGCCCATGTGCCGCCGCGGCGCTGGCGGCGGAGGCTGCACTCCCTCCAGCCCTGCGCGCACTCTTGCTGCTCGCGCCTTCGCTGTGGCCGGCGGCGCAGCGGCTCCAGATGGCAACACAGCCCCGCCCGGCCCTGCGGGTGGCCCCCATCCCATTGGAGCAGCCTCGAGCAGGCCAAGAACCTTACACAGATTCGAACTCCAACCCACAATGTGGGAGAGTCCTCCCAGCGCGTTTCCCCGGGGCCAAACCCAGTGCCCCCCCACATCCCCGCGAGCTGTCCCCGAAGCTGAAGGGTTCCAGATACCTGGCGGGCGCTGGGGTCGATTCCTCTTCTTGCGCCGCTCGCTCAATCTGCCTCTCCTCCTTCCCACTCCCGTCCTCCCTCCCTCAGGCTCCGAAGAGTTACACATTTGCGTGACCTTGGGCAAGTTACTTAACGTCTCTGTGGCTCAGTCAGCTCATTAGTAGAATGGCCATCAATAGCACCTACTCGGGGTGTCGTAAAATTTCATCGAGAATAATCCACAGAAAGGATTTAGCACAGGGGATTGTACACAGTAAATACTCAAGAAATGTTCACCGGCATTACTTCCTTCTTCTTGGCATTCACACTGATGACCTCTTTTGTGTTTAGAGTCAGAGGTCAGTAAATGGTGGCTGTTACAGCACTGTGCAAAACGTTTTGTCCATGTCCTTGAACCTGCATGACTTCATGGTGTTAAGAGATACAGACACACTCTGTGAGGATGCAACCCACTCCAGGTCACATGGTAGGTGGTCAGCCAGGTCCATCCTCACCACATCACCTACTACCTCCAAAGCCCTGGAAGCCAATCCCTCACCGAACGAACGCAGGGGCTGCCGGTCACCTCTACCAGTCTGCTAAACTTGTTAAAAATGAAGATTCTCCCCACCCCCTTCCCAGCTAAATGAAACTCAGCAACTTCAAGTCTGAATTTCAGGCAGCCCTGGAAATCTGCACGGATAAACAGGCTCCCTAGGGGTGACTAGGGCCCACTCAGGCCTGAGGACCACTGCTCCCACCTTAACAGCCTGTGACTACATGTCCCCATCTCACTGGAGACTCTCATGGCTCAGGAGTTAAGGGGAACACCCAAGTCTCCAGTTCCCTTCCTGCTTCTTCTGTACCCCTCCCCCCGGCAAAAAGAAGGACAAGGAGAACCTTCTAAATAACTCCACAAAGACAGGAGCCAAATGATAATGCGATAGAGTAGCTGTTCAAAAAGGCTTTGATTTCATTTTGTGATCTGTGTCAAACTGCCTCATTCTCAGCGCGGGTGACCCCTCCTCCCCAGGAGACGAGAATGGAAAGTGGGGGTCTTTTGTGAAGTCTCGGCCTCCACAAGGCCCCAGGGAAACCCCACATAGTTCTGAGAGTTGACAGGAATCCTGGCAAAGACTAAGGTGGGCGGGAGGCAGTGACAAGTAGGGTGGCGGACACCAGTCAGGAAGCTGGGGTGGGGAGAACCCCGTCCTTGGCCCTGCTCAGCCTTGGGGCTGCCATGTGCATGATGGAGAAGGGGAGATATCCCCCCGCCTTGAAGCACCCTTGGCTGGGCATGGCTTTGATTCCGCTTAGGGCTCAGGTGAGAGAGGAGCAGGAAGCTGTCATGAGCTGGCTGCTTCATAAGGTGCTGCTGCTGGTGCCCCGGAGTCCAACACCACGGACAAACTGCTCCAGCAGGCCGATGGCACCAGAGGGACTGGGGGCTGCTGCCCGAAGCCCCACTGTGCTGCTGTAGGCAGCCAAGAAGGCTGAGCGCACCTCCTGTAGCCGAGTCTCCCGTTCACTCAGGGCTGTAAGCCT